AATTTGTAGAAATATGCTTCAAAGAAATATTTATTAGTATTAACCAAACCCTTCAACTAAATTAACGATTTGTTACAACCTAGATGAATATTAGAAGCTTTAATATATTTAGTTATAATTACCAACCCATGGTAATAGTTCCCAATCCTTGGTAACAGTTCCCAAATATTGTCAAAATTCGGAAACTAAATATCTTTAGTTGTCGAAACTAATCCTTTTTCTCAGTGTGGATGACACTGACATCCTAGAACGATTTTCCTCGTTCCCCCGTGCCCTAAGGGTAGTCGCCTATATGTTCAAATTCGTAGAGCGCCTCAAAAATAAGGTGAAGAAAACACCGAATTCCCCACATAACATTATAACGCATCAAGACCTACAAAAAGCAAAGGTTTCCCTTGTTGCACTCTCAAACGCGCTATTTCGGCCGCGAAATGTTAATGCTAAGAGAATCAAAACCAATTGACCAAAATAGTCAAATCTTAGTACTCAATCCATTTTTAGACACGAAAGGTCTGCTTCGTGCTGATGGACGGCTAGCGAACTCCAGCCTCACATATAACGAACGCCACCCCATAATAATACCATTGAAATCCCCCTTTGCAACACTATACCTCAGATTTCTACCCTTATTAGTGCTACATGCCGAACATCGCCTCATGCAACAAATGGTCCGACAAGAATATTATATTCCACAACTAAAGCCACAGATCATAAAATGCATATTTATGTGTAAAGTCTGCACTATACATAAGCAGAAGATGCGCACGCAGATCGTGGCAGCTCTTCCACCTGAACGCTGCACTTTCGGTCTGTCCTTCACTACCACTGGTATTGATTTTGCAGGGCCTTTCCAGATAAAGGCTTCCATGTTAAGGACTTCAACCTTTACGAAGGGTTATGTGGCTGTCTTTGTATGCTTTACAACAAAGGCAGTACACCTCGAGCTATGTTCTGATCTGACAACTGCGGCTTTTCTCGCGGCATTTGCTCGCTTCGTCGGACGGACAGGATTTCCACCCAAAATAATGAGCGACAATGGAAAAACCTTTGTCGGAGCCAAAAGAGCCACTGAAAAACAATTTATAAAATTTATAGAGGAAGTCTCGGCTGAAATCGTTAAAAAATACGCACCCCAAGGCATTGATTGGCAATTTATCCCACCAAGTGCCCCACATATGGGTGGTCTATGGGAATCGGCTGTCAAAAGCTTCAAAACACATTTAAAAAAAAAGTCGCTGGCACAGAAAAATTTAACTTTGAAGAATTTACTACATTATTAACCCGAATAGAAGCCGTTCTTAACTCACGGTCCCTCTCTGCGCTCTCGCAAGATCCCTCCGATTTCACTGCCCTCACCCCTGGGCATTTTCTTAGAGGAGCTCCACTTCTGGCAATACCCCAGCCAGACGAGCAATCCTTAACGCAACTCAATTAACGTAAATAATTGAGCGTTAGCATGCACGCTTTCTCCCCCGCAAAACACTAAAGTCCCCTTTCGTTTCATAGAAATGGACGTTGGACCCCACGCCGGCAGTCCGGACCAACGCAGCAGTAGCACCGCGAGCATCAGCACCACCGATTGCGGCACCACGATCTGCCACATCATTCTCCGGAGCAGCTCCAGTGCCATCCCCTCGTCCAGGCGTTCGGCGAGCGGCAGCATTAGCAACCGCAGCGCCATCAGGCGCACCCTCAGCATCCGCTGCCCCCGCAGCATCCGAACTGCTACTAGCAGATGAACTGGATCAAGGCGTACTTCTTTGTGGGCTATGCCACCGGCGCCACGCAATGAGCGCCTGTCCAATATTTCGGGGCCTGCAACCGGCCCAGCGGCAGCAAGTAGCCCGGGCACTGTTTGAACTGCCTCGCGTTGTCCCACAGGACATGGGAATGTGCATCACGTAGCCGGTGTCACGTATGTCAAAGACGTCATCACACCATGTTCCATCACTTCCCATCGGGTAGCGCGAATTCAACAACCAGCTCCAGCATCAGGTAATCGTCGCCGACATCATAACGCGCGGCAGAACGTCCACGCTCGGAGACCACCGTCGGCACACTACCGCCCGGGCCCCCATCATCCCACCGCAGCCAACAGTCGTCCAGGTCGCACCACCGCCGCCCATCCGGGCTTGGCAACGTTGTAGAGACGTTGCAGCAACTACAGCGGTTACTAGGCTAAGTATACGCCTAGGGGGGCCGGGATGGCTAAATGGGTCCTTTCGCGACGGCAACGCTGGCACTTCCGCCTGCGAAACTATCGCCAACAGGCACCCACAGATGTCCCCATCAGCATCACATCCTAACACGCACCCACATCTACACATATTCAACAAAACACTTTGACATTTTACTTATCCACTTACTTTGTACACACACTACACATGTCATACACACACACACACACTTGAGACACAAAGAAATGTCAGCAAAATTTTTGATTTTAAACGACACAATTGTTAAGATTTTCCTCCGTGCGGACGTGTCCGAACAGCCCCGATTTTTTGAATAAACCTCTTCATATTTATATTTTAACGAAAAGTTCCCCTTGTCTTTTTTATACAAAGCGGAAAACGTAAGTGATAAGAGTAATAAACTACAGGACAAATTCCAAAGACCATAGTGATCCTGTGTTCACTCGGTAACCCGCGTATTAAAATTGATTTGTTGTTTCATAGCTAGGTGAGCGAAGATCTCATTGAGTTTCCTACTATAGCTTGATATTACGTTAAGGTTTATATGGAAATCGCCGATTATGATAGTATCTACCATATTATCACATGTTGCAGACAGGATGGCCTCCATATAGGTCAGGAAATCTGCATCACTTGTACTAGGTGAGTGATAAACCACACCGATTTCACACCTCTTTACCCAATTTTTTAATTGTATGACTATGCACCATATATTTTTATTGATGGATCGATTTATTTTTATTTTGAAATCAACTGTGTCTCGCAAGATTATAATTACACCGCCTGTGTGTCTACTGTGCGAATCACACCTTATTACGTGGTACGTTGGAAACTTTATTTCTGAATCATTAATTTCATCTGTTATACACGTTTCGGAGCATAAGACTAAGTCAGGATCAACTACCTCAATAAGTCTTTCGAGCTCAGCTATATTAGCTAGTATACTACTAATATTAACATAGACGCATTTCAAATTACTATGGTGCTGTTTGCTAGAATTTGATTGCCAACATCCTACTTTTTGTTTTTCAAACTTTAATCTTCTTATATAGACTGGGCACTCCCTACTAAATACACTATGCTCTGTGTTTAATTGTAACCCTTAATCAGAGGCGGGAATTTTTTGATTTTCCAAACACATGTAATTGGGCATCAAAATGCTGCTTGCTGCGACGTCGACACATGTATACTATCATCGTGCGTCTTACGATAATTGACGATTGACTGATGCTTCGCTGGTATTTCGGCAAAGCAGATCAGATCAGTTGCTGTTGAGAGTGTTCGGACGCAAAAAATTTTTCTTAGTCATAAATAAGCATGAAAAATTGTGGTACATTCCAAAACAATGTGGTAGATTCAAATAAATAAATTTAAAAATATGTTACATGCACTTATGGTCAGCTGATTAAGTTAAGTGACATTTTGACCAGTTTTGGCTATTTATATTTTTGTTTATTTACTGTTTATCTTTTTTTGCTGACGGTGCTAGGCATTTTCTTCCATATAAAAGAAATTTCCAATCATTAAAAATCAACGCGATTTCCTAGCGCTTGAAATTTGCACTTTGAGCTTCTAAATTTTAATGGGCTATAAAACTACATACACTGAGGGAAAAAAATATTAAAATCAAATAGAAACGTAATTGATCTTACTATAAACGTCAACGAAAGTACTGAATATTGGTAAATATTCAATTCAATTAATAAATAATAAAATGACCACGTTCGTACTGAAAAAGCATCCGTGAAGTGAATAATCAAGACAAAAACTGAAAAAAAAAAAAAATTTATTTGCATGTTACCTGCAGTGGAATTCGAACCCGACCATCTCCGGATATCAACAACTTGTGGCAAGCATCTTTGCGCACTCAGCTACACCCTGGCATATAAATTTGCTTTCAAATGTTGAATATGTACGGATAAACATGTAATTACCCTGCAAATAATGGGACTAATCCGGGATGACTCCGGGAGCAATCGCAACCCTGCAAAAAATGGGACTAATCCGGGATGACTCCGGGAGCAATCGCAAAGGAACATGCGACTAATGCCACTTTTGATCTCTTTATATGGAATGAACTGTTCGCTTTTGTTCGAGCATGTTCTATGAAGAGACTAATTGCTCACCTTTATACCCGAAAGGGTATAAAAGGCGACTAGTCACTTTTAAAAAATAAAAATAAAAATTTGCGCCAGCTGAGATTCGAACCGGGCTGCTCAGTTTGGTTAGGCGAATACTCTCTCTGTGTGCCAACGCCGCACATGAAATTTCGTTGACTAAGAGCGTACATATCACTAAATCGTTAATATTACCCGTTAGAGATGAGTTGGGGAATAATTGATATCCAATTATACCCATAAGGGATGAGTCGAGACTAATTGACCTCCATTAGTACCCGTATGAGACAAGTTGCGACTAATTAATGCCCAATTGTACCCGATTGAGAGTAATCTCGGAATACTCTCTTTAGAGATTAGTCGCACAATTTTTTGCAGGGTACTATGTATGTATGCGTGTGTTGTCACCGCTCACAGAGCGGTTCTCTGCATGCTTGGGTTGCGTATGTACACTTACATATACATACTCAGATGTGAACAGTCAAATACGTGCGTAATAAATTTTGTATGAAAATATTATTTTTAAATACGAACATTTTTAAACGATAATCAAATATAAAGTATTCATTTTTACTATGCATTATTTCCCTCAGTGTACCTAACAATTTTCTAGAAATTCTAAATAAAAAGCCAAAGCGACAGAATAAGATGCTTTTTTTAAAAATGATCTATCATTTTCTGATAGAGAATCATTTTCTGATAGACATTGATAATTTTGGTGTTGATGTATATTACTTTCACCAATCATAAATTTAATAAAGAACGCTGCTTTTAATTCTAAAATCTTCAGTGCTCGATCACCCTCTTTCACCTTTTCAAAATGGCTATGACACAGTTTGTAATGTCTTTTTAAACAAGACATAACATTGCGACTCAAAACGCGATAGCAGATCACGCATCCATGTTTTCTATGCAAAAAAAAAATTATTTACCATTCCTCCCGAAAAATTTTATGTGTGTATTATTCGAATAAATGCGCAGTGAAGTCTCAGCAGCACAGTATACCAGTAGAAAAGGTTTTTGTTTTTGTAGCTGTTTCGTGGTGAAAGTCCTTTATGGGGACCAAATTTCCACACAAGAAATTGAGCACATGGTTGCTTTTGCGTCCCAAAAGAATGAATATTAGAAAACATTTAAAAAAAGTCTAAGGTAATACAATTATATGCAACTAAAAATAATCACAATAATTTGCACTTATGAGTTTTCAACTATTATTTTTCACAAAATAATTTTGCGGATCAGTTTGCTCTGAGCGCTTGTGTTGTTTACCAAAAAAATGCAGCCCTGTTGGTTTTTGTTTCTGTATCGCATCGCGGTGAGTTTCTATTTCTTGGTAATTCGGTTTGTGAAATGGTAAACAAATTATTGAAATTTATTTATCTGATGTGTATAAGATTTCATTAATGCAATTTTTTGTATTTTCAGACTATTAATTACAAGCACAGCATCATCAACGGTGATTGCAAGAACTACTGCAATCCCTGCGGTTTTTCCTCTTGGTAAATGCGTTCAGGTCGTGATCAAGGGTGGTCTCCCAAATCGGCCGGGAATAAGGTTAGTCATTTTCAATTTTATATCTTTGTTCGTCGACATTATATGACATGTCATCATTGCAGGCTATTGTTGCAGAACAAAACGCCGCAACCAGTGCTGTGGTAAATATGTTCCAGCAGAACTGCCCACCGCCGTCGGTGTAATGATTTCGATGGCTGAACAAACGCCATCTCCTGGGCTATTCCCACAGCTTGCGGACACTAGCTATTATATCACGTGTGAATGCAACTGCGGCTTAATTTGGTTATTAACAGTGCAGTAGTACCATGTCATTGGCAAAACGACTAAGGGCTGCTGGCACAAATAGGTTGTAAAGTTTTTGGTATCGATGAACATACTCGAAGAAGACGATGACCGAAAACATATGATGAAACATCTTCTGGCATGCCTTTGACAATCGTTAAGTCAGACGGAGGCTTCACATACGATATTTCACACATGGCTCGAATTCGTTAGCGGACAGAGCACACATTTACAAAATATTTATCGTTCAGCAGAACGTGCATGCATATTCGATATTTCACACATGGCTGGAATTCGTTAGCGGACAGAGCACACATTTACAAAATATTTATCGTTCAGCAGAACGTGCATGCATATTCGATTCCGATTTTATGGGTCGATTATGGAGGACAACCGAACTTCAGTTGCCGGGAATTTTTGATTGAGATACTTTATTTCTTTTTTCAACTTTTTTTTAAATTGTACCACCTTGAACTTTATGAAACTTAATTATTGCTATTCATAATAAAAAACATTTTCATTTCAGTGGCGCTGTCCATCGGCTACCCAACTGAGGTTCCGTTCCCATCCATAATCGATCCATAAGTCATAATCGCACGAACTAATCAAGGCTATCATAGAATCCATCGTAGTCCGATTTTTCGTGAAATCTACGAAAATGCTATTAAGTTCGAGTAGCTACGAACGCAGCGCTTGCTTTGAATACACATAGCAGTTCAGATTCAGTGATCGCTTTTTCGTAGATTTTAAGAAAAATTGGACTACGATGGATTCCGCCACCAATATGTTTTCTCCTTTGACAAGATGTTGGAGAATCGCGGCAGCACAGCCGTATTCCTACTCTATGCTCTTACGCGCATATGCTAAATTTCTCGCACCTAGCTAAAGTGCTTGACAAAGGCAGAAGGCATATCTTCAACATTATAAGTTAAAATAAAAAAGTTTAAGGCATGCAATAAAAGAATCAACAGAACCAAAAAATGTTCTCAAAACTATTAAACATAAAAAATTGCACGAATAAAATTCATATTTACAAAATGAATCTTAAAGCACCCACAGTAAGTCCTAAACATATAAATGACTAATAAGAAAAATAATAAATAACAGTAATATGAAAAAGTATGTCGAGAAATCTCTAAATAGTAGCGAAACTATATCTCAATAACAGATAATTTTAAGCAAAAAATACAACCGACTTCAATGCACATTCAGGTCGTTCTGGTTACGTAGATCCGACTGTCTTCCCTTTTTTTAAATCGTTAAAAAAAAAATTATTACGTATTCTACAGAAAAAAATCAAGATACATATTTAAGGATTTTAAGTAAAAATAAATAAAGGAAAACTTGTTCGTGATATCTTGACCAAGGTGTATTCATGGTACAAAAATCTGAAGGTAAAACCGTTGAAAGGCAGCCTGAACATTTTTAAAGTTTGCTAACATTACAAAAATGTTTTCAAATTTCCAATCTCACAAATACATTCTCATTATCAGTCTCAAATAAATGAAAATTTCAATATTTTCATCTATTTGTTTTTTGTTTTACCTTTATTTGGCATTTGAGTTGCTCTCAAAATTTCAATTTTATAAAATAGACAAACTTCAAAAAGTAAATGATGGCCGACGAATTGTGCAAGCGGTTTTACCTTTAAATATTTGTATCATGGGTGTATTAAACAAGGTGCCGTACGCATAAAACCTAAGCAAATGCTTTTTCTTAAAATTTCAGACCTTTCACTCAGTTTTTTCAAATAAATTTAAGTGAAAGGTATGAAAATCTGAGAAAAAGTAATTGCTTAGTTTTTATGCATACGGCCCAAGGTGTTATTGACAACTCAGTGGGGCTCTCTTTTAAGATACTATTATGTAAAAAAATATAAACAAACGATTCAAAATTCATACAAATTTTTTTCAATTTGACTTTATAGGATGGTTCTTCTGAGAGCAATGTCAAATTCAATCACACTTTGTTAAATACATTTTGATCTCTACCAAATAATGTACTTCCTCTTTAAATATTTTATGAAGTGTTCCAAAATTCGCTCCGAGCGCGCTCTGTTGATCATTTGATTTAAATAGTTTGTCAAACAATTAATACTATAGTTTGATCGGAAATTATATATTCTTAAGTAATTGATCACATTTTATTAAAATATAAATGTTTAATAGGGTAGAAAGTTAGAAATAATTTACTGTTAATATGCATAATTCGCTCAGTGTTCCAAAATTCGCTCCTAGTGAGTTCAATATTGATCATTTGATTTAAATAATTGTTTCTCAATCACTCAGTTTTATAGTTTGATCGAAAACTATATATTCTTAAGTAATTGATCACATTTTATTAAAATATAAACGTTTAATAGGGTTGAAATTGTGAAATTACTACTGCAACTACTCGTGAAAACTTACAATAAAAGCAATGTAGATGAAAGTACTAAATATTATTATTAAAATTAGATCCATATATAAAACATTTTACATCATTTATTTGAAGTAAATCGGAATATATTTTTACATATAAGATAGTTTCCATTTAACTCATAAAGTACATATTTCACTACAAATATTTTTAAGATCATTTCGAATTGCAAAAATAGCGCTAATTAGTTGTATTGAAGTATAAAACATTTTATTACGTCCATGTTTACTTATAAAGCGCATAACAATATTTCTCTCGCCATTTATCCGATGATAAAATTTTTCACCACATTATTTTGCTGCACAGCACCCTGAATGCGGCAAAACAGTTGCTGGCAACCCTCAAGTCCTTTATGGGGACCAAATTAACAGCCACAACAACAAAAACCTTTTCTACTGGTATACTGTGCTCAGCAACAACTGATTTGATTTGCTTTGCCGAAGTGCTAGCAAAGCATCAGTCAATCGTCAATTATCGTAAGACGCACGAAGACGATCATATCATAAAGGCCCGTCCACATAGAACTTTGGCGTTGCGTTGGCGTTGGCGTCGCTTTGACAGCAGCGCGAGTGGCGTGTGTTCTTGCTACAATGAACGTTTTGACAGCGCCGGCGATGACATTTGTTCAAGCCACGTGGTAGAGTAAACAACCGGGAAATAAGAAAAAGTTTATAATTTAGTTAATAAAACGCATACAAATATAACAAAGCCGAATTACTTACGGCGGTATAGCTTCATAGGAAGGCGGCCCAATAATTTAAATCATCAAATAGACATTTGTTTTGTTTTTGCCAGTGAAAATATTTGTGTATCCTCGAGCGTTATTAAAAAAATGATGTTATCTTTTATCGAAATAATATTAATAGTGCTACTTAGGTACGAGCCTCGCGAGTGTTTGAAGAAAATTAATTCTCGGCGGCGGGAGTGGGTAAGACCTCTTTACTTAAGTCGCGACATTGATGGACTATTTGTAACCAGTTTTGACGAAATGTACAAAAATGACCCGGAGCAGTTCAAAACTACGGTGAGGATGACTAAGGAGGTGTTTGATTTGCTCTTTGGGCTCGTGATGGAACGCCTCATAAAGTATTCCAACAGGCCGTCAATTTCTGCAGAAATGAGACTATTCTTAACATTGAAGTAAGTAAATATTTCTAAAGAAAATTTCATACTAATTTGTGTGCATTACATTCATAGTTTCCTAGCACACGGGGGAACTCAGCATTTGTACGCTACAGCGTATAAAGTGGGTCGCTCCACAGTCAACAAAATAATTTTGGAAACCTGCGAAGGACTTCAACACTATTTGGGATTTCGCGAACTGTGTGGGCGCAATCGACGGAAAGCACATCACTTTAAAATGTCTTTCCAACTCCGGATCTCTTTTTTACAATTACAAGGGTACCTACTCCATCGTATTATTAGCATGTTGCGATGCGAATTACACATTTACTTCTATCGATATTGGTGCGTACGGTTCGCAAAGCGACGGCGGTGTGCTTTGGAATTCTGGATTTGGTCAAAGGCTGTTCCATGATCAACTAGACCTGCCTGAGGATGACATTTTACCAGACAGCAATATTAAGTTTCCGCATTATTTCGTTGGAGATGCAGCATTTCCTTTAAAAAAAAATTTAATGCGGCCATATCCTGGTTAGTATACGGAAAATGTATTGCATAGAAAATGGTTATGTTGAAAGTTGCATTTATAGTTTGGAAATAAAAGAGTCTGATGCTTTGCATTGATAAAACTTGCAACTCAACCATTATTTGCATCTATACTATGTGCATATGTATGTACATACAAATAAGCCTTTTTTAATTTCAGGATTGCATCTGCCACCCGATCGTGAAAATTTTAATAAGCGCCTTTCAAGAGCTCGGCGTGTTATTGAAAACGCCTTCGGAATTATGACAGCACGATGGAGGATTTTGCTATTCATATTTTTGATGCTGGCTGTTTTTATATATAGTGGGTTCAAAATAATAGCAGCAAAATTCAAAATGACGCTTTTGGCAACTTATATTTATTTATTTTTTGTTAATAATTTTCATTTAAAATAAGGGTCGATCTATATCAGATACCACATAAATAAAAGTTTCAAAGCTTATACAAAGTTTTGTAGCCCATTCAATTTTAGTATAATAAAGTGCAAGTTTCAAGTCGCAAAAAATTACCGTTGATTTTTGAGAATTTTTCTTGTGGAGGGTGTTGCGCATTTCTGCCATATAAAAGTAAGTTTATTTCATGCATTATACGGAAGAAAATGAGAAACACCCTCCACAAGAAAAATTCTCAAAAATCAAAGGTAATTTTTTTGCGACTTGAAACTTTCACTTTATTATACTAAAATTGAATGGGCTACAAAACTTCTAAATTTTCTAAAGATTCTCATTAAAAAGTTTGAAATTTTGTTGTCAACTTTGAAAATGATTAACAATAAATAAATAAAGATAAGTCGCCAACAGCATCATTTTGATTTTGCTGCTATTATTTGAACGCCACGTATATGTATTTCTTACATTAAACATTTCCATTTCCCTTTGCAGGGATTTCTTGCACATAGCATAACCACCACCATCATATAAATCCATATTTGAAACTTCGTAAAAGTCAAAATGTCACTTAGCTTAATCAGCTGACCCCAAGTGTGTATGTACATATATGTAATTTTATAAAAATTATTCAGTCTTTTATTTACTACAGGGTAATTCACAAGGGTACTGATTATTAAAGAACAATTATCGAATTTAATAAACATAAATTAATGAAAAGTAAAAGAACTTCAAGAAACAAGAAACGAAATATAAATAGGGTGTGTTCAGAAATGCATCAAGCCAAAGCATCAAATGCATTTATTTCTAAACTATAATTGATGGAAATGTCCAATATGCGCAACCACAGTTAAATGCCTAATTGGACCCTAGTTGCGTAAATAACACATTTCCATAAATAATAGTTTAGAAATAAATGCGTTTGATGCTTTGGCTTGATGCATTTCTAAACACACCCATACATTTGTGATCAGCTAATTAAGGCAACCAACATTTTGATAAATTTTATGTTTAAGGTTTATTTTTCCATAAAAGTCTATCTCGTTATTATAACAAACACCAATCCACATTTCAGACTTTGTGCAAAAATTATAAGAAATCTGCAAAGTTGCATCTAAATTTTCATATTTTTTTATCAGATTTTTTAGTAATGTTTTGAGTATGGAGTTTTATAGCCCATTAAATGCTAGTATAAATACACACATCTGAAAAATCTGATAAAAAATATGAAAATTTAGATGCAACTTTGCAGATTTCTTATAATTTTTGCACAAAGTCTGAAATGTGGATTGGTGTTTGTTATAATAACGAGATAGACTTTTATGGAAAAATAAACCTTAAACATAAAATTTATCAAAACGTTGCTGGCTGGTCACAAGTGTATCTGTGGAATTTTGGCAAAAACACTTATTTAATTTTATAAAATACCAAATCCGAAAGCTTTAATAATTGCCGCAATTATAGTTGAAAACATAGTTGAGTATCACAACTTTGATTGGGCCTGCTCCGGATGTTTCAATACATAGCTGTCCAGAACTTTATAAAACTCAAAATTGCGGCTATTATTAAAGCTTTCGGATTTGGAGCCAACAAATTCATTGACCGCCACGCATAGTGATCCGAACCTCTCGTTCGCCTCGTCTTCTACACGACGCCGTTTATTTTTTTTTGCGCTGTTGGACTGCTCCGTGTCGTTTGCCGGAACAGAAGGAAGAGGAGAGCTTACTTCATACTCCTCATAATAAGAGGTTTCGGTCACGTTGCACGGGCTGATGCCGTTTATTTCCTCCTCCTGTGAAGTAAAATCCAGATTGGAAAATGTTCTGAAAATAAATAGACAAACATAGATTAAAACTTAAGTATATATACACATAAGAACATATCGAGTGCTGAGTGGAAGATCGACCTATCTCGGCAGCCAGTTCGAAAACGCCCTACCTCAAAAAACTTTTCAAGAACGCCCTATTTCAGAATTCGTCTCAAAAACGCCCTATCTCAGCTGCCGATTCAAAAACGCCCTATGTCAGCACATTTTCAATACATTTTGAAGTGAGATAGGCCGTTTTTGAACCGAATTCTGAGATAGGGTGTTTTTCAATAAAACTCTGAAATAGGGCGTTCTTGTAAAGTTTTTTGAGATAGGGCGTTTTCGAACTGGCTGTCGAGATAGGTTGATCTTCCATTCAGCAGTCGATATAGGAATTTTCAATTAAAATAGAGTTCTATTTCTAACAAAACCCAAAAACTTTGTAGAAAACCATGATCCAAAAATAAATAAATAAAATATTTAAATAAATAAATAATAATAATAATAACAACATTTAAGTATATGTATCATGGTGGAAAACGACAAAAAATGCAACGAATTTTCACGCAAATTTCAAACTTCTTTCCCAGAATTGTTAGAATTTGTTTGAGTACACAGTTTGATAGCCCTTTAAATTATAGTGCGATAATGGCTGCGTTTCTTTATACATTCCGGATAATCCCATTTCACAGCCGGAATAAACAGAATGAGTTTGAAATATACGTCAACATATCATCAGGAACGTTCTAAAGAATAAATAAACAAAAAAGTTTATTCCAAACATTCCGAATGAATAAAGAAATGCAGCCAATAATAAGCATGAGTGGGAAACAAATATCACTTTGAAATTGGGATGCTATTGGTATGACCGACATTTTATTTTTTTGTTAACTTACTTTCGAGGAGCAACGAAGTCTCGCATAAAATCCATGGCTTCCAAATATTGCCATGTGGCTCCATCTTCGGCACCAGATCCTGACTTCTTCTTCTGTAAGCCTGTCTCCCGGACGAAGCGGTCTCTGAGAGACTTCCACCTTGTTTGGCAGTTAGTCGCTATTGGAAGAATTAAATAAGGTAATTTTTTTATATATTTATATACATATACATATATACAATTACATACCAGGTACTCCCACAGCGCATGCAACGGCATCCCAAGCCTTTTCTTTTAATAATTTATCGTAAAGGCAGCTGTGTGCCCTGACCGCCTCTAGTAACTTCTCCTCCATATTTTCTGTAAATATATAAATATATTGGCCCGTAGTCATAGTCAAAATAAAGTCGACTTTAAAGTTAGTTGCAGCTTTTTGACATAATTTTCAATGGGATATCTGTCAAAAAAGCTGCAACTAACTTTAAAGTCGACTTTATTTTGACTATGACTACGGGCCATTGTAAATATTGAACTTAAATACCAACGTGGGTAAAAGTGCACTTAAGCGGAACCTGCCCAAAATCCATCCAAAAAAAGTCAAGAGGGGTATCAAACGACGCCAATAATTTTCCAGGTACTTCACGATTTGCAGGAATTTATAGGAAGCTGTTCCCGGACGACACCTGCATCCAACTCCTTTTTTGGGTGGCGGACTTCGGCCGCGCTTAGGGCCTATAACCCTTACTAAGTAGAATTCTCTTTTCTGTGTTGCCGGAGAAGAGGGGCGGATGCATCTCTGCATAGGCGGCCTTTGCGTGAAATTCATCAAAAGAAGGTACGCAAAGTGGAAGTGTTTTTATTTCCGCTTTCGAATTATTGTTATTAGTTGCGTTCTAGATCTGCAGGAAAAGCTGTTTTCTCCATAAATAAACCTTATGAAAGGTGGTCACCTGGAACAGCTTCCTGTAAAAATCTGCAAATCGTGAAGCAACTATTGGCGTCGATGATGATCATCTTTTAGATGAGTTTTGCGCAGGTCCCGCCCAAGTGCACTACTACTCCAACGTGGATTGCATTTTAGAATTTTTACTTACCTTGTTTTAAATTTAATCCGCAATGTTTTTTTTGGGGTATATCTTTAATTCTAATTGATTTCAGCCAAATTTTTACAAAAGCTGGAAAAATGTTGTTCACCCACGCTCAATGAAAATTGTGTATCAGCTGTTTGTCAACGCGCGCAAAAAGTTGAGAGTTGGCCATCTTTCTGCGTTGTGTTGGCGTTGGCGTTGCCCAACTTTGGTTATGTCGAGACTTTCATATAAATGCATGTATTCATAGTCAGCTGTCGAAGCGACGCCAACGCCAACGCAACGCCAAAGTTGTATGTAAACGGGCCTTAAATGTTGCCACGTCGCAGCAAGCAATGTTGTTTTTTGTTGTAGAAAATGCCCATTCATTAATGAACAAATTAAAAAAAAAGAAGTTTCAAGATCTGAAAGTTTTTTAACTTAAGGTGGTAGAACTAGTAGAAATGTAATTTAGCAAAAAAAAGTGTTATCTATTCCACAAATGTGGTAAAGTCCGAGCACTGGCTGGTGAACCAAACTTCGCTGCTTCGCACACAAGCGCATGTGTGTGATAGTGTGAGTGCCCACCTCTGCCCTAAATCTTAGCATCGCAGCAATTGCCACACACTGGGTTCGTAATTCTTTCAGTGCAGTTTTCGGGTTTGTGTTCACTCATGCATTTACAGCATCGTAGTTTGTTTTTGCAATTATTAGCACTATGATTGAAACCCAAGAACTCTTCACTATCTGTCCGTCATAAACTGGGCAGCGATCCCATCCAATATTCAATCTCTTAGATTCTAGGACCTGCACAAAGACTTTATGCTCTACCTCGATTAATGCATTAAATGATGTTGAAGTCACGCTATTTCTTTTTGGTTTAAAAACTTTTAAACATTTTAAGTTTGCATCAGCCAAGTACATATTTTGTGATTTTATTTTGCTTATGACCTCTGTTTCAGTGTATGCAGCGTTTATACGGGTTATCAGTATTTTTGGCCTGTTCATATTAGGTTCAGAGATCTCATATTGTTCCTTATTAAGATTATTAGCTAGAGTAGATTTAATTTTCTCTTTCTCAGTAACACTGTTGGCATTTATTACAACCGCCCCATTCTCCTTATTAGACACTTTGTCAATTTTCATATTAGTGGCATCGATTTTATTAAGATCCACCCTAGTTTTCTCAGCCGCTTGCTTATTTTTTGGCTTAATTATTATTGGAGGTACACCTTTTACTGCATTAGCATACGATGCACCCACACTACGCTGTAAGTTCTCTTTACTCTGACATGCAGCTTTCTTAACTTCCGCAATAATGTCATCTTTTTGCTTGCATATCTCAGTAGTTGATGCACCTACTCTTGATATTTGATCTTTGTTGGTCTTACACAGACGTTCTACCCTCTTTATTAGTTCTAATTTCTCTTGGTTAGTTTTTTTGATGTTATCCATTGTAATGGCATCGCTAACAATACGGCAGCGCTATTCAGCCGTCGTAATGTTGGTAGCCCTGTCGGAACATACGTTCCACAGGTACATAATATGAATGAAAAACCGAACGTTCAATTCATTCTGATATAGATACTTTAACTGTGAGGTTGCAAGAAATTTAGAACGGCAATAAAAATACAATTAAATAGTAAAAATTAAATCAAAGTTGTTTTTAATTAACATTGTTTAAGCGAATATAGTTTTCGCGAGTGTAATTTCTAAATTCTAAATATTACGTCCGGCCGAATATCTAGCGGCCACGAGGAGAAGTATACGCGCAGCTACCAGCAGATTAGGGGTGCCGCGTATACCGGAGCACCCGGCGTGGAACTACTGCGCGGATTCGACCAGCCATTTGGTACCAGCGGACTCCTGGTAACGACAACAGCTGGAGTTCACTGGGGTAAGCAGTGCACTAAAAATTAAACTGTGTGGTGTGGTAGCGGGCGGTAAGGTGGCGGCACAAAGGGCACGAGATGGCGACCGTGACGGTGAGCATGAGGCAAAATTTTTTTGACACCCTGGACGTCAGGCGTGTCTAGTGGGCTTCGGGCGCGATACAGTGTCGGTGGTGGTGGCGAGCAGAGTTTCTTTGCGGTAGGCAATAACGGGGTGCTGTACAACGTCGCCCGTATAGCGCCGCAAACAAATCCGCGCTGCCTTTTCGTCCCGTGCATTTTTGTACATAACGGAGAGCCCTGCCATCACCAACGGCAGCAGTACGAAATAACTCGCATAACGCCACATATAACGGCACGTAAAACGGCACGCTGCATTTTTACAAACTGCGTAGGGTATAACCGAGAGCCCTGCTGCCATCAACAACAACAGCAGCAGCAGCACAAACCCGTATATGTACGCATAAGCGATACAGCACCGCCATAAACCCACGCTATGCGATAACGGATTACCACCACACCAGCAACTATACACAAACGGGAAACACGAACCAAAGACTGCGGCGACTTTTTGTACAGACTGCATCGAGGGAGTCGGGCAGTTCGGGTGACTCAATCAGGCGTATATATATATATTTTTTTCCCCTCCACATTTATATTTAAATACAAAATTTGATTTCAACCATTATTTAAAATTTCTTTAAACTAAAAACAAGAAAAAGAAAATTTTCTTAAGCATTTCTTTGCGCTAGACAAATAGCCTCACTTAGAAAACAAATTTTTTAAATGAATTCAATTTGTGGAAAAAAATTAAACAAAAAAAGTTACTGCAAGCTGATTATAAAGAAATTAACTACTATCCGAAAAATTAATATATTTTTCAAACAAAACAACAAGAAAAACAAATGTAAAGTGAAAGAAATGAATTTTGAAAACGGGTTTTTCTCATGCATTAAATAATATTAAACACTTGTGTTAAGCGGCCTCATGTTCGAAAAAAGGGAGCTAAAGCTAAATTTAGGGCGCGTTTCTACTTTTAAAATGTCATTAAATCAAAATGACCTCTGCAACTCAGATTTTCAATTAATAATTCGTTGAAAAAAGTGAACCACCACAATTCTTTTTCAAAATTCGTACTTTTATTATACTATAAGTGAACCACCATAATTCTTTTTCAAAATTCATACTTTTATTATACTATAAGTGAACCACCATAATTCTTTTTCAAAATTCATACTTTTATTAGACTATAAGGGACCTTTTTCATACAACCAATTAATTCATTATTATATCAATTTTTCATACTAACTCATATTAAACTATAAGGGACGTTCTTATATCAATCACATTCAAACTTAAAATTGTTACCTATTAGACTTTAAGTGACGGGAGTGACTCATTGAATTGAAAATATTTTTTTTCCTACTTTTTCCAAAATACGATTTACTAAAGTAATCGAAACCTAAATACATTTTAATATAACCGACATTTATACCATATTCCTATGTAAATGTGACAATACATGCCTATATTACCAAAATTGAAACTTTTCCTTAAATATATGCATTGTAACATTTAAATACAACTTGAACTCTTTTGGCTTGCATGTGAATACAACCCAATATTCCCTCTGCATGAAAACGACCATATTTTTGCATGCAAATTTTCACCCGATGACCTACTGAGAAAAACATACACTTCCACTTCTTTGAGATTAGCCGGTTATGAGCGAAGTCGATATACAATTTAAAGCATCTAACGCAGATTTTGATAAGATTACTAAGCGCATTTTACAAAGTAGACCGTTGTCTACGAATGCGAAAAAATTTAACGAATATAAATATTCGCTTATCACAGCTTACAATAATATTTTATTACTAGTTATTGGTAATAGTTCGGCCCATACCTGTTATCTCAAGGAAGTTCAAGTTAAATTAGCCCGTTGCAAGGAACAGTTAGCAAAGTGCTTTAATAAACTGAATTGTCGCGTTAGGATTCCACCTGATAGCTAATCGCTAATTTGTCAATCAGACCTAGCTGACTCTGAGTCAGAAGAAGAGTTTAGTGACGCCAAGTCAGAAGCTTCGGTACAATTCAGTCTTAAAAGAAGTACTTCACTTCCATCATTTAAAGGTCTGCTAACTGTATCCGTTCGCCAAATATTTCGACAAATTTTCAAGAATTTTTAGACATGGCTACCCCTGAACAGAAGAAATCCTTTATTAGTCTTTG